GAGAGAGACGAGAGAGAGAGAGATCGTGGCGGGAAGAGAAGAGAGAGAGAGAGAGAGAGAGAGAGACAGAGAACGAAAGCAGGATAGACATGAATGCATGCATCTCGGCTCATCAGATCATTTCGACACAGACGATCCTTCTTTCCTACAGTGTCCCCCGCCAACAACCCCGCATATCATGATTAAATCTTGCTACTCGTTCGTCTGCTGGGAGACTCCAGTCGGAGCTGGTCGAAGTCGGAGCGTAACAGCTTTACAATCGATGGCCGTAAATGCCAAACGCAGATTTCTTGGTAGGAGGAAAAATCAATTTGCTATCTGTTTGCTCTACCATTCCCTGTATGCATCGTAGTGCGCACAGACGCGCGCGCACAGCCTGGTATATGTACACTGGGCAAGCGACTTCTCTCCCACTCAAAAGTGTCCCAATAGTCAGCCTGTTCCTATTGATTTTCCTGCATCGACGAGAGACACTTGTTGGCAGCCGCTCACATCGGTTTACATCCCGGAGAAGCATTCCAACCGACATTCCCGTATATGGCTCCGTCAAATGAACGCGGATGTAATGGGTGGGGGGTACTCTCTGCACGGTTCCTCAACATTTCATATGTCAACACAAGCCACCAATATATGAGGCCTCTGCAAATGCAACACGGTCCATTTTCGAGAGGAAAAATGCGTCGAAATTCCATGGAATCTTTCGCGGCAAAAATGTCGAACTATATATATATATATAGCTAGTGCGTGGCAGCTGTCTTTCTATATGGGCCGGCTATTTATCGCATTCACGCCTTTCATGTGAAATGTGGATTTTAAAAACCACAAATAAAACCGAAAGCGATACTCTTGTTTAGGCTTTCTGGGGTCGGAGTTTTTTTTTCACACTTCCGCCTACATGGGTCGCCGCTGTTAAGAAATATTGCTAATGGGGTTCACGAAATAAAACTTGGCAAAATAGAAATGAGAATGCGAGCGAGAAGGAGGGGGAGAGGCACAGAGAGAGAGAGAGAGAAAGCAAAGATGTGTGTGAGAGAGAGAGGAGGGAGATGGAGAGAGGGAGAGAGAGAAGAAGAGAAGAGAGTACGAGAAGAAGCGGACAGAGAGGAGGAAGGGGGAGATAAGTATATATATCAATATATTATAATATACAGAGAGAGAGAGCGTGCTGTGCGTCGTGCGTGCGGGCGTTGCGTGCCGTGGGCGCGTGTGGTGTGTGTGTGTTAGGTCCTGTGTGTGATGTGTGTATGTGTGTGATGTGTGTATGTGACGAGAGGAAGAGAGAGAAAGAGAAGAGGGGGGAGCAGGGAAGGGCGATAGATCTACCTGTTCTTTTTGTTCTGTTTTTTCAGGTCGGAGGACACGACTATTAATTTGCCCTGCACGGTCACATGGACTCTGAGCTACCCTCGAAGTTAGAGGTGCTTATCCTCTATCATTTTTCGGCCTCTCTTTTCTCCTCATCAATGTCTCACATTCTCTCGCTCTACTATTCTCGCTTCATCTCTCACCTCGCCTTTTTAATCGACCCCCACTTCTTCGTCAGGTTGTGGTTAACATTCTGTGCGACCTGTCTCCTTTCCACCCACATTCTAATGTGGATGTATTCCTTCATTCTCTTCATGATAATCTCAGGTGTACCCTTAACCCCAAGCTATGTTGTATTCCTCAACACACCCGCACATAACCCGTGTGTTGTGTCGCCGGGCGCCTGACCTCTCCCGGCTCCTCGCCTCCTCCCTCCTCTAACCAGGGCGGGCGGGGGGAGCGGGATACCGTGGATGTGTTGGCGGGCCTCCCTCGCCCTGCCTCCTCCTCCACCACCCGCAGGCATAACCCGTGGGGCCGTGCGGCCTCCCTCCCTCCTCGCTTCCCATCCACACAACCTCGCACACTAATCACCCGTGTGGTGTATTGGGCCTCCCTCGCCCTCCTACTCTCCCCTGCCGCTCCAGGCCACCGCACATAATGCCCGTTGTCTAATATCGATCATTTTTTCGGTTCGGCTCTCTTCTTGCTTCCTTGCTCTGCTTTCTCCCGTGTGGCGGCCTCCCTAGCCCTCATCCCTCCTTCGCACCACCCGCACATAACCCCGTGTTGTACGCGGGCCTGCCCTCGCCCTCCTCCCTCCTCACCAACCCGCCCCATAACCCGCTGTTGCTCGTCCGCTGCGGGCTCTCCCTCCTGCCCTATCCTCTCTCCACCACCCGCCAACATCCCGCTCTGTGCTCTGCTCTCTCATCTCCTCTTTGCTGTGGTGGGCCTCCCTCGCCCTCCTCCCTCCACCACCCCGCACATCATCCGTGTTGTCTTGTGTGGCCTCCCGCTCCTGCCCTCAATCCTCCTCCACCACCCGCACTACCCGTGTGCTCTCTTCTCTACTTGGGGTGGGCCTCCCTCGCCCTCCTCCCTCCACCACCCGCACATAAACCCGTGTGTGGGTATGTGTGCGCGTCGTTCTCTCTCCCTCCGCCCTTCCTTTCCCTCTTCCACTCACCGCGCCCACCATAACCGTGTGCGCTCCCGTGTGTGGGCCTCCCTCGCCCGTCTCCTCCACCACCCGCACATGAACCGTTGTGTTGTGTGTGTCTGTCTCCCTCGCCCTCATCCCTCCTCCCTCCACCACCCGCACATAACGCCGTGTGTGTGCGGGCCTTCCTCGCCCTCCTCTCCTCCACCACCCGCCACATAACCCGTGGCTGTCGTGCGGGCCTCCTCACCCTCCTCTTGTCGGCCCGCCTCTCTCGCCTCTCCCCTCATCAGGTCACGCCAGCCAGCGCGCTATAAACCTTCCCCGCGGGATGCCAGCACGAGATCAAAGTCAGCTCCAGCGCGGTTGCTTAGCGGATCAACAAATTACATATGGAGAACAAACAGCGTACGTACGGAGAGCTGGCGCACAGAGCGCGTGAACGACTGGTGGCAACGAATTGCTCACGCGCGCAACCACGTATTACTATATACTCCGCACTTACCTCGCCTCTCTCGCACCCTCCTCCCTCTCCATCTCTCTATATCCTCTTATATCTCTAGTTTCTAATCTTCTATCTTTATTTCTCTCTCTTTCTCTCTCTCTGCTATCCTGCAAGTCGCCTGTCTCTCTCTTCTCAACTCGCCGTGTCTCTCTCTCTCTCCTCGTCCTCTCTCTCTCTCTCTCTCTCTCTCTCTCTCTCTCGCTCTCGTCTCTCTCGTTCTCTCTCTCTCTCTCTCTCTCTCTCTCTCTCTCTCTCTCTCTCTCTCTCTCTCTCTCCTCTCTCTCTCTCTCTCTCTGCTCTCTCTCTCTCGCTCTCTCTCTCTCTCTCTCTTCCTCTTCTCTCTCTCTCTCTCTTCTCTCCTCTCTCCTTCGCTCGTCGCTGCCGCTCTTTCACACTCTCTTCTCTCTCCTCTCTATCTCTCTCGCTATTCTCTATCTCTCTCTCTTCTCATCTCGTTTCCTCTCTCTCTCTCTCTCTCTCTCTTCTCTCCTCTTCTCTGCGTATCTTACCTCTCCGTTCTCCAGTGGCTCTAGTTTTGAGTAGTATGATGTACAGATGACTTCGTCATCGCTGCGGTAGCGTGGCACGCCAACAGTCGGAGCAATTCCTGTATATGAGAGAAAGAGTGCGCACGATCATGAAAACCACGCAAGAATGCAGGACAAAGTCTCCTATAAATACGGTACATCGCTGGTTCACGAGTATAGCTCCCAATGTTTCCACATTCTAACATAATATAAGAGATGTTATTAAACTATTATACGTTTTAGCCTATTTATCCATATTAACATCAGAATACGTTGAACATTCAGACTATAAATGTTTATAATTAAAACTATATTTACGTAGAATTAAAACGAATTTATAAAAACATATTATGTATATATATATATAGTTAAATATATCGTTGCGATAACAGCTTCCGTACGATGTAACGGCAATTCTTACACATTCTACATACCAAATATGAAAAGTCAGCGGCGTCTGACAATTGATTATAGTTATGAAGGCGAGAAATCGAGATTCTGGAGGAATATAGTGAATTCCACAGCGAAACGGGCGGTCTGCATAGCGAATGGAGAAATTCGAGCGAAGATGTTCTAATTAGATAGATCGCCCGTGACGATTCGCGACTAATCATTTTGCTGATGAATTTTTTCGTCGCAAGTCGGGTAATGCAGAACCGGCCAGCGGTTCTAAGTGCCCCGGGCTGTCGAGGGTGGGCCAGGGAGGGGGAGTGCAAAGGGAGGGAGAGGGTGCCCGAGTCGGTGTTTGATGGCGTGAGCAGCGAGGGGGAGGGAAAGGGAAGGGGGAGAAGAAGGAAAGGCCCACGTGTGTTTGGGTGGAGGGAAGCGAGGGAGTGGGGAGGGAGGGAGAGACCCACGTTTGGCGGGACAGAAGCACGAGAGAGGGGGACAGGGGGAGGGAGAAGATCCACGTGTGTTGGCGTCGGCAGCAGGGGAGGGTAAGGGACGGAGGGCCTACGTGTTTGGCGGGGCACGAGTGAGAGGGGAAGGGAGGCGAGGAGCCCACGTGTATTTGGCGTGGGCAGACGAGAGGGAGAGGGGAAGCGGGAGGTGAGGAGGCACTGGGAGAGCGAGGGAAGAGGTTTGACAGCAGCGAGGGGAGGGGAGGGAAGAGGAGAACCACGTGTGTTTGGCACGGCGAGCGAGGAGAGGGGAAAGAGAGGAGGACGTACCTGTTTTGGCCTGGCAGCGGGGAGGAGTAGAGGGGGAGGGAAGGGAGAGGAGAGGAACCCACGTGTTATGGCCGTGTGGCAGCAGGGAGAGGAGAAGCGGGAGAAGGAGGACCCACGGGTGTGCTGGCGAGCGAGCGAGTCGAGGGGGAGGGGGAGAGGAGAACCTACGCGCTGTTTGGCGTGGCGGAGGCGAGAGGAGAAGGAGAACCCACGTGTTTGGCGTGGCAGCGAGAGGGAGGGGAAGGGGAGAGGAGCACCCACGTGTTTGGCGTGGCAGCGAGAGGGAGGGGAAGGGGAGAGGAGGACCCATGTGTTTGGCGTGGCAGCGAGGGAGAGGAGAAGGGGAGAGGAGGACCCACGTGTTTGGCGTGGCAGCGAGAGGGAGGGGAAGGGGAGAGGAGGACCCACGTGTTTGGCGTGGCAGCGAGAGGGAGGGGAAGGGGAGAGGAGGACCCACGTGTTTGGCGTGGCAGTGTCTGCGATGAGAAATGCAGAACTGATTGCGGTGAGAATGTGTGACCCACGTTAACGCGGCTTCATAATACCACGCGTGAAAGTCCATCCGGTGCATGCTGGTGCCCGCAGTATGACACGAGAGTAGGAAGAATGAGAGACAAGGGAGGAGAAGAAGAGAAGGAAGAGGAAGAAGGAGAGGAAGGAGAGAAAGAAGAAGGATTGTATAGGAGATAGTATAAGAGAAGAAGTAGATAGTATAGAGAAGAAGATAGCATAGGAGAAAGAGTAGTAGGCGGCGAGGACGAGGAGTATAGAGTGGAAATGAAGACCGAGGAGGAGAGGGAAACAGTGGAGATGGGGAAGTGGAGAAGCAGGAGCAGCATTCTCTTAACGCCATCATTGCTCGGATGCTGCTGCGGGCACCATGCGTGCGTACGTGTGTGCGTACGTGCGAGTGTGCGTGCGAGTGTGTGTGCGAGTGTGTGTGTGTGTGTGTGTGTGTGTGTGTGTGTGTGTGTGTCCGTCTGTGCGCGCGTGTATGTCCGTCTGTGCGTGCGTGCGTGCGTGCGTGTGTGGGGAGCTAAAACACGCCTGGCCGCGTCCATGCAGGAGCGACGTCGCAGCGCTAGCAGCCTACCGTAAGTGTTCCAGCAGTCGGAGTCCGTCATGGCGTAGTACTGCCACGGCTTGTACACGATGCCGTCCGTCGATCGCTCCAGAATCCAGTTTCCCGGTCTCGGAGAAGCGGCTGCTTTGACGATGATGTAAGCGACTTGAAATATCTGCGTGAGAGGATGTCACATGTTGAACACCGAGCGTCTATTATGTATGAATGAGAGGCTAACGGTGAACGGAGATGTAGAGAGAGAGAGGGGGAGAAAGAGCGCGGGAGGGAGAAAGAAAGAGAGGGGGAGAGAGAGCGGGAGGAAGAAAGAAAGAAAGGGGGAGAGAGAGAGCGAGGAAGAAAGAAAGAAAGGGNGAGAGAGAGAGAGAGAATATGGGATAGAGAGGACAAGAGAGAGGGAGAAAGAGAAAACGCTTGAGAAAGTGGGGCGACAGAGCGTTGACATTTCTTTTGTTAATATCTCATTCCCTCCCGCCAATCCTCTCTCACTCGGTCTGTCTCTATCTTTATCCCCTTTACTCCTTTTCTATCTATCTGTCTTTCTGGCTTCCTATCACACTCGCTCTCTCTCTCTCTCTCTCTCTCTCTCTCTCTCTCTCTCTCTCTCTCTCTCTCTCTC